CATGGAAAAAAATCCCCTGGAAATAAGACCTAGTGCATCTTTGGGAGCAAAAATTAATATAAGACACTTGTCTTATTTTCGGGGAAACAGGGTAAGAGACAAAAATGATCCGATAAAACAGTCTTCAGTTAATTTTGGGTGAACTACAATTTCCAATGTGCTGTTGAAGGTTTTCATGGCCGGAATCACTGGGTTGCCGTGAGTTTTCCGGAATGTATGGCCATGTTCCAGAAGCATTCTCACCTGACATTTTGCCCACATCTATGGCAGGTAGGCCTGGGCAATCCATGGTTCTAAAGTACTTACAAAACTAAAGTTCTGGTGGTGAAAATTTCAGAACCCCAACAAAACTTTCAAAATTTAATTATTATTTCATTATTGGTGATTTTTATGATAGAACCAATTAGAAACTGTCATTTATAATGAAATTTTGAGAGTTTTGTTAGAGTTCTGAAATTTAGAACTTTAGTTTTGTAAGTACTTTAGAACCATGGATTGACCAGGCCTAATGGCAGGCATCCTCAGAGCTTGAGAGGTATACAATTCCCAACCTCATGAATCAACTCCCCCCCCCCACCCCACCCCCAAAATTCCACCACTATTTTTATGTTGGCCATGTTGGGTATGTATGCCAAGTTTGGTCCACATCCATTATCATTTGAGTTCATAGTGTTTTTCGATTGTGTGTGAACTACAATTTCCAAAACTCTGGGTCATTTCGCCCCAAACTTTGTCAATATTCAAAGTTGGCCATGTTGGGGGTGTGTGTCAAGTTTAGGTCAAATTCAGGCAACGATGGATCTGGACCAAACTTGGCACACATATGACTTCTCAGTGACGTTCGAAGGTGAACCTCAGACACAGTGAAGACTTTTGGACTCCTCCCCTCCTTGAATGATTTATATGTAAATCTTAGGCAATCCCTCGTTGTCCGAGTAGGATGGGTCCATAGGTGACTATGGAGCCCTATTCTTGACCTGCATGTTCTCCCGCAGTGAGGGCATTGGTTTCCAGGTGGAAGTGGTCCTGGTCGGGGTTGGCTTGACGTGCCTTCCTCTTGGCATGTTTCTCTCTTTTGCCCTCCATTTGTGCCTCTTCAAATTCTACAGCATTGCTGGTCACAGCTTACCTCCAGCTGGAGTGTTCACAGGCCAGGGCTTCCCAGTTCTCAGTGTCTATGCCAGTTTTTAAGGTTGGCTTTGAGCTCATCTTTGAATCTCTTTTCCTGTCCTCCAACATCCTGTTTCCATTCTTGAGTTGGGAGTAGAGCAACTGCTTTGGGAGACGGTGGTTGGGCATCCGGACAACGTGGCTGGTCCAGCAGAGTTGCTGGTGGAGGACCACCGCTTCAATGCTGTTGGTCTTTGCTTCTTCCAGCACGCTGACATTTGTCTGCTTGTCTTCCCAAGAGATGTAAATCCCACACATGCAATTGTAAGATATATTAATATTTTTCCCCCAAGTGTGCAAACAGAAACAGGTATAGAGAAAGTTACATTGAGCAAGAATAATATCTCCCCACAAAAGAATTGTGCAACAACTAACAGAACTCTGTCTAAAACTATCATCCTAACATATGCAACCCCATACGACTATATCAGAAATTTTGCAGCAGAAATTTGTTCCCATCTTTTCTACAAGAAAATGACCAGTGAGTCCCAGTGTTTCTTAAAACTAGTCAAGGATTTCTCCTGCATCAAAGTTGTTAGTTTGTCCATCTCTGCTAATATGCACACAGTCCTCTTCCATCAGGATAGTTGGTTCTAGCCATCTCTGGGCATAGATGATCCTCGCTGAAGACATTATGTATAATAATAGTCTTTTGTATTTTCTCTCTAACAGATCATCCAGCATCCCAGCAAGGAAAACTCTAGTTTCGTCATCATTTTGATCTTAACATTTTTTTCTAACATCATACGTAGTTGTGTCCAATACTTCTGGGCCTTTTTACAAACACATATGGTAAACATTTTACAAACCATCAGTGCAATTTGCTGGCCCACTTGCTTCTTATCATCCAATTAACTGACTTTAGACACAGTTGTTTCTGCTTCAGTAGCGGCTCTAATCTTTATTTAGATTTCATTCATTGCAATGATACTCATTAGCAAGGTCAGATGCAATTGAGAAGAGGCAAGAGACAGAGCAATGATGTCTGCTATATTTATACTCCACTGTTATTAGCTTGTAGCAGCAAACAGCAGCCTGTCCGTTGGACGCAAATGGGGCGGAAGAACAACACCAGGCTCCAGCAAGGTTCCAAGTTCAGATTTACTATTCCAATGGAAATGGGTGAGAATCAAGTGGTTTTCACACACCATGATTTGAACAGAGCACATATTTATACACAATTCCTTATATAGCTTGTTGACATTAATCAATTATTAATACATTGAAAAACATCTTAATCATCTTGATGATCAGCTGGAAACACTGAAGTCAGTGTGTTTAGATCATATTCCAATATCCTCTATGACCTAATGCTGGTCAGCAGTTCTGACGTGTCTGGGGTAAAGTAATTCATTCTTCATATTTCTAAAAGTCATATTTTTAATGTAGTTTCTATTGTAATCACATCAAGACACCAGGTGGCATTCCAATATTACAGCTAACCTTCTGACCTTAATTGGGTAGGTCCTAGGGCAGGTTATTTATTGCATGTTATTGCCTTTTCCCTATGACATCTGCTTGTTTATTGGTATCTATGCTGTCTAAAAGAAGAGGGGCCGGCCAAGGGCAAGAGGGATGGATGGCATCCTTAATGTGCAAGATACTCCACTTAACAAAATGAAGTTCAACAGTGACAAATGCAAGATACTCCACTTTGGCAGAAAAAATGAAATGCAAAGAGGCAGAATGGGGGACAATGAGGCCTGGCTCGAGAGCAGTACGTGTGAAAAAGATCTTGGAGTCCTCGTGGACAAGAAGTTAAACATGAGCCAGGAATGTGATGTGGCGGCAAAAAAAGCCAATGGGATTTTGGTCTGCGTCAAGAGGAGCATAGTGTCTAGGTCCAGGGAAGTCATGCTCCCCATGCTCTATTCCACTTTGGTTAGACCACACCTGGAATACTGTGTCCAATTCTGGGCACCACAATTCAAGAGAGATATTGACAAGCTGGAATGTGCCCAGAGAATGAGGGCAACTCAAATGATCAAGAGTCTGGAGAACAAGCCCTATGAGGAGCGGCTTTAGGAGCTGGGCATGTTTAGCCTGAAGAAGAGAAAGATGAGAGGAGATATGATAGCCATGTATAAATATGTGAGAGGAAGCCACAGGGAGGAGGGAGCAAGCTTGTTTTCTGCTTCCTTGGAGACTAGGACACGGAAGAATGGCTTCAAACTACAAGAAAGGAGATTCCATCTGAACATGAGGAAGAACTTCCTGACTGTGAGAGCTGTTCAGCATTGGAACTCTCTGCCTCGGAGTGTGGTGGAGGCTCCTTCTTTGGAAGCTTTTAAACAGAGGCTGGATGGCCATCTGTCAGGAGTGATTTGAATGCAATATTCTTGCTTCTTGGCAGGGGATTGGGCTGGATGGCCCATGAGGTCTCTTCAACTCTATGATTCTATAAGTGACTGGATTGACCTTAAAAGAGCTGGGGGTGGTGACAGCCGATTGCGAGCTCTGGCGTGGGCCGGTCCATGAGGTCATGAAGAGTCGGAAACAACTAAACAAATGAACAATAGCATGCTGTCTAAAGTACAGAGGACTTGGTTCCCTAATCTGATAATGACCATAATTATAACTTCGTCTTTGTTCGGCGGAAAACGAGCTGACTGAGAGTTAATCACATAGGTCACCTAAGGTTGTCTTATAGCAGTTTTTCTCAACCTGGGGGTCGGGACCCCTGTGGGGGTCACGAGGGGGTCTCAGAGGGGTCGCCAAAGACCATCAGAAAACATAGTATTTTATGTTTCTCATGGGTTCTGTGTGGGAAGGTTGGTCCAATTCTATCATTGGTAGGGTTCAGAATGTTATTTCATTGTAGGTGAACTACAAATCCCAGCAACTACAACTCCCAAATGTCAAGGTCTATTTTTCTCAAACTCCTCCAGTGTTCACATTTCAGCATATTGAGTATTCGTGCCAAGTTTGGTCTAGATCCATCATTGTTTGAGTCCACAGTGCTCTCTGGATGTAGGTGAACTACAACTCCAAAAATTCAAGGCCAATGTCCACCAGATCCTCCCAGTATTTTCTCTTGGCCATGGGACTTCTGTGTGCCAAGTTTGGTTCAATTTCATCATTGGTGGTGTTCAGAATGCTCTTTGATTGTAGGTGAACTATAAATCCCAGCCACTACAGCTCCCAAATGACAAAATCAATCCCCCCCCCCCCCCCCCCCAACCCCACCAGTATTCAAATTTGGGCATATTGGGTATTTGGGATTTGAAAATATCTGCATATCAGATATTTACATTACGATTCATAACAGTAGCAAAATTACAGTTACGAAGTAGCAATGAAAATGTTATGGTTGGGGGTCACCACAACATGAAGAACTGTACTAAGGGGTCGCGGCATTAGGAAGTTTGAGAACCACTGTCTTATAGGGTCTTTAAGTTCGATCTTAAAGAAAAGGAATTAGGGGAATCTTCTAGGGTCGCTCCTTCAAGCTCATTAATTCAGTGTCCAGCTTCCTAGTCTGCTGTAAATGCTGTGATCTGTTTTGAGTCCCCTCGGGGAGAAGTGCGGAATATAAATGTTGAATTATTATTATTATGATTAAAGTAAATCCAAAAAGATATACATAGGGGGGAAAAATACCAAGAACTCTAAAGAGACTTACTGGAGGAACATTTGCCTAATACAACAAATAGAAGAAATTGGTTTGCCATTAGTAAGGATATTTGAAGGATTTCAACACTCTGCCACAGACCTTCATATTCTGGGTGCTGGAAAAAGCACAAGCCATAATGAACTAGGAAGTGAACAAATATTTCCACTGATTTTCATTACACATTCTGTGCATTCACATGGTCTCACCCATATGAGTCCTTAGATATTTACTGTATGAGCAACTTCTGTTGAAGGCCTTTCCACATTCCATACATTTATGTGGTTTTTCCCATGTGGGTCCTGTGATGGGCATGCAAATGTCCAATGTCCCTGAAGCTCTTTCCACACTCCGTGCATTCATATGGTTTTTCCCCTGTGTGGGTCCTATGATGGGCATGCAAATTTCCACTTCTGCTGAAGGCCTTTCCACACTCCATGCATTTATATGGCTTTTCCCCTGTGTGGGTCCTAAGATGGGCACGCAAATGTCCACTGCTCCTGAAGCTCTTTCCACACTCCATGCATTGATATGGTTTATCTCCTGTGTGGGTTCTTTGATGTGCTTGCAAAGTGTAACCGTGAGAGAAGCTCTTTCCACACTCCATGCATTCATGCAGTTTCTCCCCAGTGTGGGTTTTTTGATGCGACTGCAAACTGCTACTAGTAGAGAAGCTCATTCCACATTCCTTGCATTCATGCGGTTTCTCCCCTGTGTGGGTTCTTTGATGTGCATGTAGATTAGAACTGCAACTGAAACTCTTTCCACATTCCACGCATTCATATGGTTTCTCCCCTGTGTGGGTCCTTAGATGTTTATTACATGAGCCACTATCACAGAAGCCCATTCCACATTCTATGCATTCATATGGTCTCTCCCCTGTGTGTGTCCTTTCATGGACACGTAGATTTGCCATCTGACTGAAGCTCTTTCCACATTCCATGCATTTATAGGGTTTGTCTCCAGAATGCGTTCTTTCATGTACGCGCAGATGACAAGCCCGACTGAAATGCTTTTCACACACCATGCATTTGTATGGTTTCTCTTCTCTGTGAGATTTTTTATGTGACTGTAGATTTGAACTGCACCGGAAGGTTTTATCGCATTCCACGCATTTGTACGGCTTCTCACCCAAGTGAGTCCTGAGATGTAGATTCCATGCTTTCCTATTACTGAAGCTCTTTCCACATTCCGTGCATTCATATGGCTTCTCCCCTGTATGGGTGTATTGATGTAAATGCAGTTGTTCTCTTTGACGGAAGCTCTTCCCACATTCCATGCATTTGTGTGGTTTCTCCCCTGTGTGTCTTTTCTGATGTACACGGAGAGCTGAATTCCGAGTGAAGCTCTTTCCACATTCCATGCATTCATAGGGTTTCTCTCCTGTGTGGGTCCTTTGGTGCGAACGTAGACTTCCACTGTAACTGAAGCTCATTCCACATTCCATGCATTCGTATGGCTTCTCTCCTGTGTGTGTTCTTTGATGTCTACGTAGATTTGCATTCTCACTGAAGCCCTTTCCACATTCCATGCATCTGTATGGTTTCTCCCCTGTGTGGGTTCTTTGATGTCCACAAAGTTGTGTACGGTTACTGAAGGTCTTTCCACATTCCATACATATATATGGTTTTTCTCCTGTGTGAACTCTTAGATGTTTACTATATGATCCACCATCGCTGAAGCTCTTTCCGCAGTCCATGCATTGGTATGGCTTCTCTCCTGTGTGTATTCTCTGATGTACTTGTAGATTTGCTTTTTTGCTGAAGCCCTTTCCACATTCCATGCATTTATGTGGTTTCTCCCCTGTGTGTGTTTTTTCATGTGACTTTAAATAACTGGACTGACTAAAATTCATTCCACATTCCATGCATTTGTATGGTTTACCTCCTTTGTGAGGATCGGCATCTATGTTTAACTGTGCGTGACATTTGCACACTTCCCCACAGCCGGCGCACTCCATGTTATTTGGTTCTGAGGTTAGAGGTTCAGAATGATCAGTGTGCTGGAAGGAAAAGGAGTGCTTCTCTTCTTCCACTTGAGTTATGTTTTCGGTTTTCATTCTCTTTTGCTTCCCAAACACCTGTTTTTCCGTGTTACAGCTGGATCCTTGTGTTTCGCATTCTTCTGCCAATTTCTTTCTTTCTTTCTTTGAGGAAAAAGAAAAGAAATAATTTAAACCAAATGATAGAAAACAAAAACCAGATAAAAGAGACTTATCCCCGCCTATCTCCGTGATCGCATCTCCACAGACTCTAAAATCTTCCGGGGAGGCCCTCCTCTCGCTCCCACCACTGTCATAAGTAGGTTGGTGGGGACGAGAGAGAGGGCCTTCTCGGTGGTGGCCCCCCGCCTCTGGAACACGCTTCCAAAGGAAATAAGACAGGCCCCATCCCTCCCCTCCTTTCATAAGAGCTTGAATACCTGGTGGTTTCAACAAGCCTTTGAGAATGACCAGTTCTATCTCAGCTCCAAACCCTTGTTGAATATGGCCTTATACTTCCTACCTATTACCCTGGTCAACCCTCTAATAGGCCCTGGAAATGAGCAGCCACAGACCCGTACCTGCTATTGTTGTTAGCCTGTTATAGCACTGTACTTAATTCCCGGTCCCCTCATATTTTGAGTTTGCACTAGCCTCGGCCTGGCCTTTTAATTGCTCTGAACAGGCAGGATTATTTTTAATATATATGTGTTATTGTGATAATTTTATGCTTATGTTGTTTTGTTAATTTTATGTCATGCTGTTTACTTTGTATGTTTTGGTGATGTTACTTGGAAACTGCTCTGAGTCCCCCTCGGGGAGATAGAGCGGTATATAAATAATAATAATAATAATAATAATAATAATAATAATAATAATAATAATTATTATTATTATTATTATTATTATCCCAATTGCTTCTTGATCCCCTAGACCAGTGCTTCTCAACCTGAGAGTCGGGACTCCGGGGAGGATCATAAGGGGGTTTCAGAGGGGTCACCAAAGACCATAAGAAAACACATATTTCTGACGGTTTTAGGAAGTGATTTGGCAGAGAAGGATGAAGATCTCTCTGCCTGTCTTTCTCTTCATTTTTGGAAACAGATGGTGAATCCTCCCACCCAAAGCCCTCCTCCACTGTGATTGCCTGGCCTCTCAGCCAAGGGGAGGGTTGTTTCTGAGACTCCCAAGCATAGAGGAGAGATCAAGTGTGCTCAGTGCATGGCCTACAGTGCTGAGTAAAATGGCAGCCACAGGTTTACTTCTTTCCCCTGAGGACCCACAATTCCTAAAGTAGAGCGTCCTGCTCCTCACTTCACTGAGGAGACTTTTATTTTCACTTTCTATGTCTCCCTCTATGTCTCAGCTTGCAGCAGGCACACAATGACCGGGACCTGACTGGGGGAGCCAACCATTGTATGCTGCATAGCCATAATAATAATAATAATCATCATCATCATCATCATAGAATCAAAGAGTTGGAAGAGACCTCCTGGGCCTTCATCCAGTCCAACCCCATTCTGCCAAGAAGCAGGAATATTGCATTCAAATCACCCCTGACAGATGGCCATCCAGCCTCTGTTTAAAAGCTTCCAAAGAAGGAGCCTCCACCACACTCTGGGGCAGAGAGTTCCACTGCTGAACAGCTCTCACAGTCAGGAAGTTCATGTTCAGGTGGAATCTCCTCTCTTGTAGTTGGAAGCCATTGTTCCATTGCATCCTAGTCTTCAAGGAAGCAGTAAACAAGCTTGCTCCCTCCTCCCTGTGGCTTCCTCTCACATATTTATACATGGCTATCATATCTCCTCTCAGCCTTCTCTTCTTCAGGCTAAACATGCCCAGCTCCTTAAGCTGCTCCTCATAGGGCTTGTTCTCCAGATCCTTGATCATTTTAGTCGCCCTCCTCTGGACACATTCCAGCTTGTCAATATCTCTCTTGAATTGTGGTGCCCAGAATTGGACACAATATTCCAGGTGTGGTCTAACCAAAGCGGAATAGAGCATGGGGAGCATGACTTCCCTAGATCTAGACACTAGGCTCCTATTGATGCAGGCCAAAATCCCATTGGCTTTTTTTGCCGCCACATCACATTGTTGGCTCATGTTTAACTTGTTGTCCACGAGGACTTCAAGATCTTTTTCACACGTACTGCTCTCGAGCCAGGCATCATTGTCCCCCATTCTGTATCTTTGCATAAAAGGTAAAGGTAGTCCCGTTGTAGCAGTCAGCGGAAAAGAATAATTATAAAAATATATTTAAAAAATGAATATAGGAAAACTTACCTTGA